CTCTCCCTCCCGCTCACCTTCGCGAAGAGGCCGGGCCAGAACGGCTCCACGTTCACTCCAGCCGCCTTGATGAGCGCGTTGATCTTGTCCTCCTGTAACGAGAGCGGCGCTCAGCAGCCGGCCCGGCCCCGCCGCCTCCCACCCCGGCCATGCTGCCGCTCGCCGCCATCTTGTGCCGGCGCGGCGCGGGCCCAGGCCCACACTTACCGTGACGGTGACCTCGTCATCATGCAGGATGAGGGCGGAGTAGATGCAGGCGAGCTCGGAGACGGAGGCCATGGCGGGGCGCGGTGCTAGTCGCCGGGGTGAGACGGCCTTAGCTTCAACTGAAGGACACAGCACCTTGCGCCGCTGGGGAGGAAAAGGGCGGCGGGCCCACGGGGCGCCTTTATAATGGCGCCCTCAGCCAATCGCAGGCCGAGACGCACCGAGGTCGTCAGCGCCGCTGCCCAACCCGTGACCGGCGGGGCGGTGCTGGCCAATGGCGTCGGGGCAGGGCTCGGCCAATGGCAGCGCGGCGGGGGATGACGGGAGCGTCGGGACGGCGCGGGGCTGCGCGGCCGTGGCGCGGGGCGGGCGGACTCGTGGGGGGACGCTAGGTCCTACTGCCCGCCGCCCGGACCCGCCGCCCGGACCCGCGCGGGGAAGGGGTGGAGCGCACGGCCGGTTTCTCCGCGCCCCTCCGCGTTAAACCGTGAACTCATGGAAGGGACCTTAAAGATCATCGTGTTCCACGGGCAGGGACACCTCCCACCAGACCAGGTTGCTCAAAGCCCCGTTCAACCTGGCCTTGCACCCCTCCAGGGATGGGGCAGCCACCGCTTCTCTGGGCAACCTGGGCCAGTGTCTCACCACCCTCACAATAAAGAATTTCTTCCTGAGATCTCATCTAAATCTCCCTCTTAAATTAATTTAAATGAGCTTAAGCAAAATTATTCAAGGATTTGCAAAAAGCTTGTAAGCTCAGAATCCTAAAATGACAATTTTCCATCACCAGCAAAGCGTGTCCAACAACCTACTGCTGTTAATGCTCCTCCATCCAATTCTGAGCGCTTATTAGACCATCGAAAGTAAAAGTAAGGTGGGCAAGAGGGACTTGACCTCCTGTACCCACACCTTCCTCACGATCACAAACAACCCCCAACTCTCACAAAATGAAGATTTGGCACCATTTACTGCTGGAGATGATAAATGCAGAGCGTTGCAGCACTTAACTCGTGGGTACTTAACCCTATTAGTGGGGTCACCAGCTCTGAATTTAATTCCTTAAACTTCCTATACAAGGCATAGGGGAAATGTCTACATTTTTAGCACCCAACTCAAAGTAGCAAATAATTCATCCTTCCGTTAGGATGTAATATCCTGGAACCCCTGTCACTGCCAGGTGCTTGAGGATGGGATTTCACAAAGAACTTCCCTGAACCTGCCTTGGACCTGTCTGTCCCCAGCTCCAGTGCTGCCACAGCCTCCCACGTGAAAGCCATGCCGACGGGTCCATAGGGTGGTAGAATCAGGTAGGTTGGAAGATGCTCATGGAATGGTTAGAGCTGGAAGGGACCTTAAATATCATCTAGTTCCATGGGTAGGATCTTTGAGGGCGCCTTTGAGATCATCGAGTCCTAACGCCGCCAAAACCACCACCATGAGACCATCTGACTGACAACTAACAGCTTTCCATCAAATGGGAAATGAGTAACAAGAAGTTTGCAAACAACCAACAAAATTACAGGCTTAATAGAGACCGGTCATAATTTGCTCATGAAGTTCGTTCATAGATAGTAGATATAACTACATTCTAAATAATCAGAAAGCAGAAACGAATTTGTTCCAGGGCATCAGGATCTCAGAATTACTGCGGCACCTCTGGAAATGCACAGCTCATCAATAGGCTAAAAAAAAACAGCAGGAGACTTGAGATATTAAATAAGAAAGATTCCCTCCAAGGGGGATCCTACACCAGAACCTATATATATGCAGAAGGAACTGAAGGTAAGACCACCCCATGTAAGGAGCTGCTCAGATAGTTTTTACCTTATGGCTAAAGCTACTGCCACCTAAGAAACCCCAAAATGTTAGATCTGAAACGGCTGCTCCACTGAAAACATCCTGTGTTTAACAGGGAGTGACTTATTTTGCAGGATTTAAATTGTGACTATATATTTTTGATCTCTTTAGACAGCAGAGGAATTTAGTTTCAAGGTTTCAATGAACTTGCAAGTTCTCTGTATTCCAGGGATTCTTGGTGCATTCTATTCTGGTTTTGTGGAGAAAGTGGGAAAGGAAATTTCTGTGAGGGAGGAGGAACACTGCTAACAGTTCTGATGTAACAGTCCTTAAGCTAAAAATCATCAAAAATGCTGATGCGTTGTTAAAAAATAAAATACGAAGACCTAAAATGTAAATGTGACATTCACATGGGCTTAGGCTTTGGTTGGTAAAGATGTTAATTAAATGAGATTTGCCTACATCCTTGCTTCATGGCTGTCTTGCTGCATCTACTGAGTGACACTGACAAGGCTGCTCTGTAGGGGCTGGGAATAAAGTTATGATGAAAACACATCACTATGTAATAAGAAAGATAAAAAAAAAAAAAAAACCCAACAAAAAAAACCCACCACAACACCCAGTTTTGCCACTTCCTAAAGCTTCTTGAAGCCCAGCTGTGCAGTCAGGACTGCTGGTTAATAAAGCTCAATTCCAAGGCTCAATTCCAAGGGGTAAGGTCTAGAAATTTGCAGGGGTATGTCCTTTTCACCTCTGATCCTGTAACTGTCTATAGGTTGTACAGTCCATTTACCACATCGTTATCCTTTTGGAGCAGAACAGTCTTCATTCTAGATTAATGTATAGAAAATAGATGGGGGCTTAAAAAAATATTAAATATATATATATATACACATGCTTCTGTGTATTCTATAATCCCAGGGTAATGAGTTACTTCCAGGGTGATGAGTTACTGGGACTTGGTCCAGAAAACCAACGTTCTGGTGTTATATGACAGCACAGGAACATCTCAGTGATACACAAAACACGTAACTTGGCTACGAGACATCCCTGGGTTGGATATTTTACACTTAGAGGATGGTAAAGAGCAGCGGCAGAAATTTGGCTGGATATGCTTGGGCGTTACTTGCCAGCCAAGAAAGGAGAACATCACCAAGGTATATGGATGAACTGAGATGATGTTTCCTTTCCTAATCCAGCCTTTTCCCAGCTGCCAGGGCTGCTCTTTTTCAATGACCAACAACCAACCATAAATTATTGATTGTTTGAGGGGCCTTTGCCTTCTGCTTGCACCCATAGTTTCGGGGCCCTTGCTGTTATCTCACACTTGGACACCACAGCATAAGACATGGGTTCAAAATAAACCAGCATTACAATCTGCACAGAGAGTGTTCTGTGGTTCTAGACAACTGCATCGTACCGCGATTCAAGACTAAAGAAGCAAAACCAAGTAGGGTTAGTGAAATGGCAAAGTTTTGTGACTTGAAGACAGCATTTCCAAACGTGAAACAACACATGAGATAAAAACTTAGCCAGGTATAAGACCAGCAGGTAGGGAAGTCATTTGCACCCCCAAAAAAGAGAAAAGATATGACTGCTTGGCAGAAAAGGAAAAAAAAATATGTGAGATTCCCTAGATTCCCTTAGTCTCTAAATGGGCTTTGTCTTGTCCAGAATCACTTATATCTTCTGTATAGACACCACAGTTTCCTAAAAGCAATCACTGTGTGGCAATGAGAGGACTTAAAAACAGATAAGCCATATTAGGTAGCTACAGTAGATATAGTCCACCTTAATCTCTATACAGTTCACTTTCTTTCTCCGCTAGTTCATACTTTTTTTCTTGTTTAAACTCTTCAAATGGAACATTTAAGACCCTGGGAGGATCCTAATTTGGTTACACAAGCCTGTATCTCCTGGTTTTATTAATTAGCCACACTAATGACTTTCAGGTTGTTGATCATCCACAACAGGGTAGAAAAGCTCTACAGAGCATAGATAGGCTGGCTGGATGGGCTGAGGCCAATGGGATGAGGTTCAACAAGGCCAAGTGCTGGGTCCTGCACTTGGGTCACACCAAGTCCATGCAGCGCTACTGGGTCCCTCACTACAGGAGAAGTTGCCCAGAGAAGGGCAACGAAGCTGGTAAGGGGTCTGGAGAACAAGTCTTATGAGAAGCAGCTGAGGGAGCTGGGGTTGTTCAGCCTGGAGAAAGGGAGGCTGAAGGGAGACCTTCTCGCTCTCTACAACTCCCTGAAAGGAGGGTGTAGGAAGGTTAGGGTTGGTCTCTTCTCCTGAGTAACAGGCAATAGGACAAGGGGAAACAGCCTCAAGTGGCACCAGGGGAGGTTCAGGATGGATATTAGGAAAAAATTTCATCATGGAAAGGTTTATCAAGCATTGGAACAGGCTGCCCAGGGAAATGGTGGAGTTGCCAACCCTGGACGTATTTTAAAGACATGTAGATGTGGGTTGGAGGGACATGGTGTAGTGGGGGACTTGGCAGCGCTGGGCTGATGGTTGGACTCTATGATCTTAAGGGTCTTTTCCAACCAAAATGATTCTATGACTCATGCCAACACTTCCATCCAAAGGCAACAGGTTTAAGTTGTTCTGCCTTCCAAGGGAGGGAAGGTGTTGGTAGATAATCAGGTTGTCCTGATCTGTTTGAGTCATGTGCTGTTAACCAGAACAGCCATCCCCTTCTGCAAATGTTTTCCCCTGTATTTTGCAGTTCCACCTACTGTGCCACTGCCCAGTTTCTTTTTTTTTTTGAAATTTAACAAAATGGCTATAGACCACTAAGCTGGTTTCTCTAAGTTTGTTCATGAACAGTCTCAGGTACAGTATTACTTCCTTTACTCTCTTTTTGTAAACTACTTTTCTCCCTTGCTGAGTTTTTTGGTTTTGTTTTCCTAATAACTAGGTTATTGCAACAAAAAACTAAACTCTATTACTACTTAAAGCTGTAATAATCGGCATAACTGACATATCCCCAATAGGTGGTGCTGTACTGTTTTCATAGTGGCAACTTGTATTGTTGGCTCCGATCCCCTAGAAAAAAGTCTTTCTTGAGTGAAGTTAATAATCTAATAATAATAAATACTTTGGCTTGATTGGGGTTTTTTAAATATAAATAAATATTACAACTAATTTGGCAAAAGAAATCAAGTGTGGCTTTGTAGCTTAGCAATTAGGACCGTCATCTGGATGAGAGAGGAAAAAAAATCGGGCTTTGGTCCCTCTAGCATGGATTAATTGTGATTAAATCAGTAATTGTAAAATAATAAGCACCCCCTGGGGAGGGGACCAGAACCCTCAATGTCTTTGTGACATTGTGACCATGTGAACACATTAGATCATAGAGTCGTGGTCTTCTTAAC